CCAAGTATGAGAGATGGGCTGGGAGTTCTGGACCAAGCAGCTGGACGAGGAGGAACTAGTTGAGAATGGTGAGCTTAATACTTTTATTTTTAAACTCTGATCAGAAGGGAGCTATGGTTAGAAAGGCTGTTGTCACATCTTGTCCGACCGCTTTCTCAGATCATGCCCGAAGAACAAGTTGTAGGTATTTTTTGAATGCGTTCAGTGCAGCTGCTATTCTGTGTACTTAAAGTCTCTTAAATGACCTAAGTGTTGCTTCTGAACATAATGACCTTGTGTTTTTGCTGATGTCTTTACCTTTACTGCAGTAAAGTTTAATTATTAAGAACATTTACTGCTTATCAAGCCCTGCATCATGTGATTTGWGTCTGAGGCAAAGGAGTTTGCCCTAGGAAAAACTTTGTGCACAGCTGTGTAAGTTTGTATTTTACAAACTGTTCTAGTAAAACCAATTTGTCATAAAATCAGAGCACTCATCTCTCTGTTTGTTGTGTACTTCCTTTTGTTGTTCTTCAATAGCAGCTTTAATTTTTAGCTACAGTTGATTTAAAGCACTTTCACTTATCTTTTATATATTTGGCTGAAAACTGTGATTWCTCCTTTTGAAATTTTATAAATGACCAATTTAAAAAGTAGCATTGGTGTGAATGTGTTTTTAGCTTACCCAGCTGTATTTTTTTCAAGGTTTCTAAGACTATTTTGACTATCCATGTATTCTGTTCAAAGGGCAATTGAAGCTAATTTAATTGGACCATATCTAATGTTCAAAGTGGACACAGTATGACTTTTCTTCACCTGTTGCAGGGGAGTTGGTGGTGCCTATCATCAACTCCTTTTTTTTTTTTAAAGTTTTTATATTATTTCTTTAGAAGCTGCTGCCCCCGCGACCCGACCCCGGATAGGGGGAAGAAAATGGATGGATGGATGGATATTATTTCTTTATAACTTACAGACTTGACTCCCCTTTTGAGCAATACCAGTAATGCTGATCATGAACCACTGGACAGAGCTCAACGAAACTCGGATAACAGTCAAACTGATTCAAGATGGYTGCTATAGCTAAGCAAACTTAWCAAACACARAAATGGCTGACTTTAGGCAATTTCACAGAAATAAGGCTAACATTTRGCATGGTAGTAGCTGAGCATCATCCCTGTTTGGTGGAAGGCTTTTCTGTGTTTATCTTCTAAGCAGGCATCTGATCTCATAGGTCAGTATCGTACAGTGCAGCACATTCACTCACAATTTCTCAAGAAAGTCCCATTTTTTAGCAGCTTCTTGCCAGTTTATAAGGTCTACATGTCACCTTTTTATGGTTTGTTTTGATATAAATAAAACTCTTTTTGCCTGGGGCATCATTTTTTGCCAAGTTGAGAGTAAAGGACTTGCTTTATGAGGAGAGTTAGGCATATTGAGAACCATGGCCGGTCCACCWAAGCTGGCGTTGGGCAATGGTGGCAGTGATGGHAGTAGAGTTGATAGCCKCCTCTAAAATGCTGTAGTTGGTGCRCCARTCYTTACTACCTATCCAAAGGATTTTTCACAGATGATGCTAATGGAATATCTGAAGTGCTGTAAGTGGTCCAGSTTTCTGAGGTACACAGAAGAGTAGGTAGCACTACTGTTTTGTAGACCAGGATTTTAGTCTYTGTGAAGAAGTCATGTCTCTGACTSTTTCCTTTAGCCTTGAGAAAACCCTGCTGTCCCAGCTGAGGTGATGGGGAATTTCATCATCAATGACTGGTTTAGATGACGAGAGGCTGCCAAGATATGGCAAGTGGTTGACATTTTCCAAGACAGTGTTGTCAATGGAGATTATTCCATGTATGAAACTGGTCACAACAAATTATCTTAGGTATATATTCATGTTTACACCAATGTTACCAGCCAAATGGAGCAATGCAAACATGTGAATAACAAYTTCTTTTTATAGAAGTTCAGACATGGATTGACTTGATTTCCCTTTTCCACTCCATCATCCCCAGCACTAGTTACAGTATTGTTTTCATTACATACAGCTGACTAAACTATACGCTTTAGACTGTTTTTAGTAAAATGGAAGTTGAAAGAGTTTTGTAACAAAGTCTGACGTGGCAGTTAAAACCTAAACAAATTAATCACTTCAGATTGGTCAGAATGTTGCCGGTTTTGCTGAGTTAGTGCAGCATTCAAGCCCCTGAGGGAATATTCTTTGCATGACTATGTATTTGCTTTTGTTCAGTCACTTCTCAAGCAAGTCTAACTTGCCAGCTCAGCTATCAGGTGCCTCAAGTTTCAATGCTCAACAACATTCCTCTGCTGGGTTACACTTATTTGTAGTTTGACAATAATTTTCAGTTGGGGAAAATGTGAAGGAATCCTGTCTAATGCTGGCATTTCTGGACCTCTGGAAATGTAAATAGATTCTGAAACATGCTTCCTGTTACAAATCAGCGAGGTYAAATATTGTTAAAGTGATTACTTTGCCAAGTCACATTTTTTAGTAGATGCCATCAAACTTTCCTCAGTTGAGCTTTGATTTATTAAAGGTAATTCTTAGAATATTTCTGTCTTTATTCTGACAGCAGACCCCAGCTCCACCATCTTTTCCCATTTATACTRTGACTTCCAATCAGGCTGGAATAAAAAGCTTTTATTTAATCTTGCACAGTTTTATTATCATCTGTATAAAGTTTAAAGTAAAAGGGTACAACTTCCTGTGTGTCCAATTTCCATCTGGTCCAGGGTGTTTGGTTTCTGCTGCAGTCTGATGCTGATTACTGACTGGATTACAGATGTTGCCTTAAATTCAGCCTTTGTTGTGGATGCTCAGAGAAGAGCTAAACTTTGCCTCATATCTTTGTGTGATTTTTTTTTAACCACAGCATTTCATCATTTCATTATTGTTAAAAATATAATTAATATAATTATAGGTTTTCTCACTACATGTTGCAGTTTTGTGCAGTTTTCTCTTGTTCATCCTTCATCTACAGCCATAAGAGATTGATGGCCTTTCTTTGTTCTGTTTTGAGATCTTTGTCAATTTGTGTGCTTTTTGTTTACTTCCCTGATCACTCATGAGGGAAAGTCTGAAAGAGGAGTWCATCTAGACTTTTGATCCTAAAATTGAACTCATACTTGACAGAGAGCTGGATATTTGGTACCTTCAAATCTCAAAAACAATGAACTTTTGAAGAATACTGACATTTGACCTCSTGGTAATTTTGTTTCCAATTGTATTTTCATTAACTGAGCTATAAATTTTCTTCACTACCAGGGCTACTGTGTTGTACTAAAGAGACCATTTAATGAGACAGAAAAAAAAGAGTATATATA